GTGTGTGTGTGTGTGTTGGTAGTGAGGTTTCCACACAGTGATCACCCCAGAAGCTTGCTGAAGGGGGAATGAGAAAACAGGCTGGGGGAGGGGAGGGGGTGGTAGACAGAGGCCGAGTTGTTCAAACCACTCCCTGGCTGCCCACAGGTCTGCTCGCCTCTTTATTTCCTGTCTGTGTGCATCCACAATCGCACATTTCAAAACACTTGTTCACATTTATTTAACTTGCATCATCTGTGCACCTTTTTTCTTGCACATAAATTTGTAGTCTCGCCAGCGTTGGTGAGAACCAGGTGTTTTTGTATTGACTCTCACAGTGAATCATACTTTGCTGGGATACACATAACACGCATGCTGTGTGTACAGACACACCTTCACACATCGTGCTCTAAACCAGCCAAAATGAAGTACTTGTGAGTCATCATAACAAGTTATCACCTTAATGAGGGTGATGGGCAGTGACTTCTTCCTCACAGGTAGTTTAATTTGAGCTATTTTTAGAGAAGAGGTGAAGTTATAGTCACAGTCACTAGAAAAATTGCTCAAAACAGAAAAGTCATACAAATGTTGTGTCACAGAAATATATTTTTCTCATTCAAATGGCTTAGATTGAACCTCCTCTTCCAAATGACTAGATGTGAATGCTATTTTAACAATTTGTGACCCCTCTGATTTGTCTTGGGAGGGGTCCTGAACCCCCCCGGTTGGGGACTACTGATCTATTCTATGTCCAACAAATTAAAACATGATATTTAATATCACCAATACACCCAGGTGGAGATCAGTAATAACATCACACTCATTTGTTTTCCAGTAAATGTAACACCATCACAGACAGAAACATGATATTTTTAAACAGTATGTTTCTTTTCACTTGTAATGTTTCAAGAGAAAAGCATTAGGATGAGGTTAATACTTAAACTCTCAACTGCTTAAACATCCAGGACATCCAGTTGTTAATTACATGCTCCTTGAAAACACTGTAGGTAGTAACCAATTTAGATGCTACATGCTAACGAGGGCTGTGTATTGGCAAGAATCTAGCTATAATGATTCAATATATTACAATATATATTGCGATACTGTGAGCAAGGAGACTGCGATTTCTTTAAAAAAAACTTATTTACAGACTAGGCTTTGCATAAAATCTGAACAGAGGTTTTTTTTGCAACCAGAACAGTCCGATCAGCACTTATTATTATTATTATTATGACATCATAGCCCTCAGTTTACAAAAATCAATACCTTTCTGATAATCGATACAATATCACGAAACAAAATATTGCAAATGATAGTTTTTGATATTTTCACACTAACACTTGTAGCTCTCATTAGAGCCAATAAACACACTTTTTAAACAGTATCTTAACACATCTGACTCTGAATTACAACTTTTATCCCAAATGTCTGCTACTCTCTGCTCTCCCATTACTGTAGCTGTTACCTTTCCCGTACTTTCCCCCCAGAGCTGCTTATTATTCTGCTGATGACTTTGAAGTAGGATAGCTGCTTTATGAGCCCTGCTGCTCCTCCCAGTCTCCTCCCTGCTCCCTCTACTACAGCACTCCTCCCCAATTAATAATCATAATCAGTGACAGCCTTTGACTGATGATCACTCCCGCCTTAATAACCATCGCTGCAGTGATGGCGATAGCCGTAATAATATTTAAAGGAATAATGATAGCAGTAATATATTTAAATGCTTACATCAACCTCCTAATCTCCTGGATTTATTAGATAAGAATATGTCAGTCACTCTGCCAGTGAAAGAAGTGGCTGCAGGCCATTGAAAATTAGCTTTCTCTTACTGTGTGCAGATTTGAAACGTTAGTTGCTGTTGTGATTTTCTTTTGAAGGAAATCGTGTCCACATTCAAAAGGAAGTACAAGAATAGAGGCGGAAAGCGGACTGGTTAACACCCTTTAATGAAAACACTTGGAGCCAATGCAACTCTGCGACTGTAACCGTTCAGCTGCTGTCAATCACACTGATGCCTCCATTACCCCTGCAGGCAGGATATCCTGTACATTATGGTTATGAATTGTTATTGTGTGAGAGAGTAGCGTTCAAGGGTCATCAAGGGGTTTGTGTTTGTCATTTATAGTTCAGTGAAAGGCTGTTACTCATGGGTCAGACCAGATCTTGTTTAGCTGCGTCAACCCTTCATTGTCCAAACTTTTTTGTCTGACTTTTGATACATTAAAGCTGCTCTAATCAATATTTTTATACTAACAATGGAACAAATGAGTGTGTGTAATATGAAACAGGATGCTTGTAGTGATGATTATCAAACAGAAAATTAGTTCCCCTCAGTTTTATGGAGCGTTTCAGCCTCTCAGCTCATTGATTTGGTTTTAGGTCCGACAGCTTTAATGTTTTGATTCACTCTCACGGCTCTCACTGTGTCACTTCCAGCCACAGCAGGCAGCGGTTTTCAGCAAAAAAGCTCTCACACAGAGAAAGTTAGCAAACAGAGGGTGAAGCTAGCTAACTTAACAGCATAATATCACATCCAGGAGTTTGCGAAGACCAGACCAGAGCTAAAAGAAAAGTGAACGTTGGACGTGCCCAGAAACACGACTCTAAATGAATGCTGATGTGATGCAGCTTTAACCAAAAAACAACAACAACATCCTGTGTGTGACTGTCTTAATGGAGGGAGCACTGTGGAAATTGAATTTGTTGCACTTCTGTTCTAATGTCTCTCCTACAAAAGAAGTGATTACCATGAAACAACATGCTTAGAGACAGCAGGAAACTCAATTAGCATTTAGCAAGACAGCGGCATCTAGAGATGTCCTTTGTCTTCTTCAGATGGGCGACTGAAAAATAACTGCATGACGTCTCTTTCATTCACTTCACATCCAATATGTTTGTCCGGTAATCTCTTTATAGCATCTCCAGCCTGTAATATCTATATGAGATCTGACATCCCTGGCTCTGGTGTCTGTCTGTCTCTCATTCAGTCTCAGCACCATCCAACACCTGGGAAATAAAACTGCGATATAAACTTGAGATATTTTGCGTTAGACCTCAACACAGTCAGTTGGACGCAACCAGTTTTGCAGCATTTTGATGTGTGTGTTCTGCTACTATAAAATACTGTATGTCCAAGATGTCAGCAGCCAGAGGGGGAAGGAGACAGATGAGAGATTAACTGGGGCTCTGGAGCTTTTCTGTGGTAATGGAGCTACAGAGTGGGCACTGTGCCATGTGGGGATGGTGATGCTGGGCGGAGGATGCGGAGACCTGCCGTTCACGCTCTATACAGGATTATGGCTGTAAGTGCAGGGGGTCAGTCTGGCTAATGGAGCTCATATGTTGGGGACAGAGGGCCTTGTAGAGAGTGCTGCAGTAATGGAGGGAAGAGGAGGGAGGGAGGGAGGGATGGATGGAGCGAGGAAGGATGTATTGGGAGGGGTTTATGTGGGAGAGAGTCATTGGAAATTAGACGGAGACTGAAACAAAGCATGATTTAATTTCTCCACGTTCACACGGAGAGCTGCTCTAGTCCTGTCTGCTTCTCTTTGTATGTGCAGTATGTTCATTTAAGTTCTTTTTCTGTAAAATCAAAAAGCAAGGAAAAAGTCAAGGGCCAGGGTCTTTACGCTTATCGTGGAGGCTTGAAATTCACTCATATTTCTTCCATAACGTTTAGAGACAACCAATAGACAGATTAGTCAAAATCAAAGCAGCAGAGTTCTGAGATATTCTGAGTATGGCTCACATTAAATCCTACATTTCCCACAATGCAACACCATAACATCTTCTATCAGACCATTAATAACCCCTGCATATAAGATTATTTTTAGGAAGGACATTTTATAGCTCTTTTCTCTAGAGCTCAAACAATTAGTTGATCAACGCAAAATTAATCTGCAACTGATTTAATAGTCGTAATTTTTTTATGCAAAAATCCCCCAAAAATCTCTGGTTGCTGCTTCTTAGATGTGAATATTTGGTCATTTGTCTTGGTATTCTACAGTATCTCTGTGTTTTGGACTGTTGGTCAGACAAGAAGACATTTGAAGTAGCACCTTGTACTCTGGAAAACTCTGGTGGGCCTTTTTTAATTATTTTCTGATATGATTTTATTGACTAAATGACTGTTCGGTTAATTAAAAAGACAAATTAATCAATGATGATAGTTAGTTAGTTAGTTAGTTAGTTAGTTAGTTGCACCCTGATTTTCATGTAAATTCATGTCTAAAATGTGTGGAGTGCACCTCTAATACTAATTTGTTTCTGTTTATGGTAACCTCCGTACAACACTAACGATGACTTTTGCTTTGTTTTTCTGTTCAACAGGGAGCGGAGCCGGGACCGCCACAAGTCCCGCAGCAAAGACAGCCGCTCAGAAAAGTCTGTAACAATTAACACACCGCCTGCAGAACCGCTGCTGGGCGACTCGGCTGTTCGGGGTGAGCAGGTCCAGGTAGGGCTGCTAAACACTGCACCAACACTTTAACACAATCCTGCATCAGCAAAGCAGCACCAGTGTTTGCTACAGGTTCCTTTATGAATGCCTCTAACACAAGATAGGATAACTGTGCTGGTCTTTGTGAGGGATTTAGAGCACAGGAGATTTATCAGTCACTAGTCAAAATGAGTTGGAATTATAATCAGCCTGGGCTGGGATAGGCCATCTGGTATTTGAGGGCAAAAGCCAGAAGGGCCAGTCCACTTCTGCCGAGGTCTGGGTTGTCACTTTCAGGAAAATCACTGACTAATATCTGGAATATTAAACATCAGGATGTGGCTGCAGCAGGGTGCTTCTCTGGTCATCACAGCTGTGTTTCATCCCTTTTGTCAGAGGCAAACACTGTAGCTCCCTGCAGTGGGTCAATCGATTATACGCTCCAGTACAAGCTGGGGAGGTGGCTTCAGTGGCCCCTGCCAAAATGGACCAGACCAAGCCAAAACAGCAGCTTAGCTGTTTTTGACAGTCAGTCAAAATTCAAACTCTACCCTCAGAAATCATGCTGACTTTGCTGCCAATGATTGCAAGCTCAAAAAATGGATTATGTGATGGATTATTTGATAAACGAGAGATATAAGGTAGGAAATTGTTTACAACTTCAATAATAACCCCAATATTTGGTGAACATGAGGTAATGTTTAGGCTACACCATCATTATTGTTGGTTTGTCATGTTCTTGCCAAATAGACAGCCTCCTGACTCATTTTCATTTCATATAGCAGACAGCTGTGTGATTATGTTTTTTGGAGTCAGATAAAAGGCGGAACTAATAAAAGACAAGATAATCAGACAGCACCGTGTCAGCTGGGCAGGTTGGCTGCACGTTGGCATGTTAAGACGTGAAATCCTCAGTAGCAACCTACGTGGTACAAGAGTTCTCTGTCCAAGACAATCGCAGTGAAAAGAATGAGTAATAGCCAATTTGTTACCTTAAGTAACCAAAACACATTATTTTTATGACCCTTAAAGACAGAGAAGTATAAAGTACCAATGATTTCTTCCCCAAAGGTTGACTGAAAGCTAAATTGGGCAATGTTGATAGAACCCTGAGTCATTGAGTTTTTAGGGCTGGGTGATAATAAACATCAGGATATTAATTATGTCACCTTATCTGCTGGGTTTATTGGTTAGAGACCATAATAAATTCTGCAGTGTGAAATATTTCCATATATGAGCCTATATCTAGTTACATTCATCAGTTAAAATCTCCAGCGTGTGTGTGTGTGTGTATCAGCACCACTTCTTGCATGTGTGATATATCTTTAATTGCTGGTGTTTGAGACTGTAACCACTCTGCTGTTTGATGGTGATGCTACAGGTGATAAACGTAATTTGTGGTATTTTATGTGTTTGTTGGCACGTTTTACAGCAGTCTTGACAAGATACTTCACCAGTCTGTTTCCTATTGGATTTAAGGCTCCCTGTGCTTGTTGGGATAAACATGACCAAAGTCATTTTCTCATCAAGGAAGTGTTACTGTTTATATCGCCCAATCTCAGCTCTGATCAACATATTTTTCAGGGATGCAACAATCCAATACCTGAGTATCATACAATTTCATCATCATGAAACATGGTGTTTCTGTTACCAATTATATTCGTTCAGTCAGTTTTTAGTGCTCAACCATCCCTGGTTTCTTGTTATCTTACATAAAAATGACTTTGGTATTGGATCAGTATTCTGTAGCAGCAGATAGTCGAGGTATTGGAGTCAGTATTTTTCTGTTACATTATTGATAGCACATTTTATATACTACATACAGTACTCATTTTTAAGTGACAACCTGACCCCAGTTCACAGCTGTCGCCTTTTTACTTCCCATTAAAAAACCTCAACCACTGTAGCATTGCAGTCTTTTTCCCTCAAGACTGCATGACACCTGAAACTTCGGTTCAGCTTTGTATTAAAATTGATTTAATGGTTTGTAGTGACCTTTATCTTTGTGTATCTGCTCGAAGAATTCACTCATTTGGTTGTCAGCAAATAACTTCTATTCACACCTGAACAACCTTTAGAGTTTATAGTTTTTTAGAGCGTATAGTGGATAACTAAGAGGAGACTTTCTTTTTTGGCCTTCTGCTGAGCAGTTAATCAATTGTCTGTCATGTGAAAGTGTGAAATGTGTGCAGTTCATCCTCCAGCATGCTTTGAAAGCAGAAATTTCAACACTTGCTGCTGGCCAAAGTCAAATGCATTTAATGAAAACAGAGATGGAGATGTAAGCACACAGAGACAGCCTTGGCTTACCCACGATTGACCTGCTCTTTTAGCCAAACAACTGTCTGGCATACTGGCCCTCATCAAGTATTCGGCTTAACACGCTGAAGGGAAAAGATGACAAACACAAACACGCACAGACTCCAACGTTCACCATCATTTACTGACCTACTTGGCGCTCACTTTCCTTTGTGCCGAGACTCGTTAGCTGTACTCATGTATGTGTGACTGTGTTTTTTTGTCTGCATAGTGTGTCTAATTTTAACACATGACAGGATTTGCCACAGAGCACAGCCATCCTTAGTATTTCATGTCTTATTCATGCCGTGGCCTGCAGTAGCACTGATGACAGGGCGGGGAGTGTTTGGCTTTAGTTTGAGTAATCAGGGCCACCAATTCTACTGAGAGAGAGGCTCAGCACAAATCCTTGTGTGTCTGTGTGTGCTTGTGCACTCTGGTCTGCCGTCTCACATATGCTGCTGTACGTGAATGTTTTGTGTCTGCGTGCGTCAGTCTTGTCTCCGCGTCTAACTGTGCAGCGCTGCGCTCATTACTCCGCTGCTGAGACTTAATCAGAGTCTTGGCTGACAGAGCAGCACATCGCTCCGGGCAGGGATGTCCTCACAATCCAGCACGAAAGTTTCTCATGGCTGTGGTGTGTGTGTGATGCTTCACCACAGGAATTCTAAAAGAGGAGGTCTTGCTTTACATGTAAATGTGTCAGAAAACACGACTGGAGATTCACGATTAACACCAGACCAGCCGGAGAATTGTGGAGAGGATTTGCCTGCTGTCGAGAGATGGTGTTTGTATGTGTGTACATTTTTTCACTTAGCAGCGAGCATTCACACGATGCAGAAGACATATCAAAGCAACTGTGAGCCACATTTATAGGACACTCAGGGATTCACTGTATTACCAAATGTCTGTATGCCGAATATGAGGCTGGATCCAACAGCAGGTTAGCTTAGCTTAGCATGAAGACTGGAAGCAAGGGGACACAAAATAAACGAGTTATATCTCGGTTGTAAAAATGACAATTCGCCATTTTACAAGGTGTTATGGGCTGACCTGTCTCTTGGCCAGGACCAGTTGCCAGGCAACCAGCGGAGACTCCAGGAAGTTACACTTAAGTTTTTGTACGGATTAAACAAACATGAGTTCATTAATTAGCTTCAGAGGTGGCTGGTAGGTGGATTACCTTTGGACAGAGCCATGCTAGCAGTTTCCCCATGTCTCCAGTCTTTATGCTATGCTAGGCTAACCAGCTTCATATTTTGCGTACAGACATGAGAGTGGATTCAATCTTGTCATTTTACTTGGCAAGAAAGCAAATAAGCTCAACTATAAACTGCAATGCACTACAAAAACACCAATTATTTATACGGACATTTGTTCGTTTTCTGCACACTTTTTGTATCTGCAACGGGGTTTCAAAGCTGCTTGTAAATTAGCTTGATCAGACGCCTCTCTAAGGTTTCTTGATATGTTTGAACAGAACACTTCCAGCAGGTTACTCCAATTTCAGGAGGCAGGCCAAAGCTCCAGGCTGTATGCTAATGTGTGAATGTGAAAAATACATACTGCTCTTTAAGCTGTAAAATCTTTAGGTGGGAACGTGCGGTATCAGTAGATGTCTACGGCAAGTCCGCCTCTGCTGTATTTTACTGGCTGGGAGTTTGTAAAGGACAATGGAGGTGAGTATAGCTTGGACTTGAGGTATGGGCCTTCTATAGGTGGACTGACACTAAACCATGTGAGTAATTGGCTCAATTTATCCTGCTGTTATTGTCGAACGAAACTGGAGATTGGGGTGGATAGTGAGAGGTGGATGGGAGTAGCTCAGGTCACTGGCGGCTTTGCGGCTTATGAGTGTGATGTGGGATGGCATTGTACAAGGTGTCAAACAGGAGAAATGTGATATGTTAGAACCGTAAAACATTCTTTGAGAATTAGCGCCTTTCCTGTCCCAACAAACGGCGGGAGAAAGCGGAGCTGGGTTTATTTTTAGATGTTTATGTGCAGTTCAGAGAAGGAACCTTATATTGCCTTGTATGATTTACATTGGTGGGTCAGTCACTGGTGTCTTATCTTGTCTCCTCTGTGAGTGCCTTTTACTCCTGCGCTAACCAGTACTTGTGCTCATTTATGCAGAGAACTGGTGCTTTGTAGCAAGGAAATGGTGACAAATATTTTGGCACTGATTTGCATGCCACAAGTTCTTGTTATGTACCTTCTTCTTGTATCCAAATTCTGTCGTCTTTCCTCTATCAGTGCTTCCAACCGCACTGAAGTTGTAAGTTAGTGAAGTACACGAAAACCATTGTCGTGCTTTCACTGCGTTTGCCAAATTAAACAAAATACTGAACTAGCCAGTTCTTCAAAGTTGCACAAAGTCTCCTAACACTTTCACCTTCCTCTCACCTTCCTCTCACCTCCCCTGCAGCTCAATTCATTCAACCCAATTAAACTCATCTGTTTTGTGATCTCAGCTGCTCGCTTACTTGAGCTGGACCTCTGTATGGTAACAGTGGCACCACTCTTGGCATTCCTTCGTGGACCACAGTGCAGGTAGCTCCACCGCCCCTCCGCCTCTCCGCCCCCGACTCACAAGCAGCCATGTTGGGCTCTTGGAAGAGACATGGCACTTGCGTTCGTGTTTGGGATCTTTTCCCTGTGATGAGTGCTTCCTGGCTCAGTCTCCTGTGAGACAGAATCCCGCCGAGCTTCATGGTTAT